CTGAGCCTCCCGAGGGCGCTGCCGGTGCCCCGATGTCACCTCACCCGCGTCCGAAATAGATGGGGTGCCCCACGTTTGGCGCCAGGTACCTCACTGCTGGGGGCGGCGAGGGCAGCCTGAGGTGCGCTTCTCTCCAGGCTTGTCTTGCTTAGTCTTCCCAGATTCCGGAATTAAAATGACCCGAGTTAGCCATCCCCCGAAGTACTGTGAAGGAAAGTGCTTCCAGATGTTTTAGAAAGTTTAAGGGGAAACGTATCACCTCTTGGCTGGTTTTCCTAAAATGGCAATGCTTAGGCAGGTATAGAGCTGGTGCATATATTTGTTTCTCTACATTTGTGAACCCAATAAGCTTTGTCAACAAAATGTGTCAGAGGTAGCAATCTCAAAGCTAATCATGTAAAAATTACAGAGTTACCTGCCATGAAACTTAAGTTATCGTATTTAATTTTAAAAAAACAGAAAAAAAACCAGCTCAAAACACACCAGGTGATAAGGGACAGAATGTTACAATAAGATCAACTCAAGACCAAGAACCGTACACTGAAGCAGTTGCCATGCATGCAGAACCACCTATCTTACCTTGCTCTGGTTTTTTTTTTGTTTTATATGCTATAGAGTCCTAAACACTCTGCATTTCACCAGTACACTCTTTGAATATGTAGAGGCATTAATGTATGGACATATACCTGAAAAAATGAGAGGAAAAGGAGAGTTGAGTTTCTTGAAGTTTAGAGACCAACTTTTATAGATTAATGCTTTTTTTTTTTAATTAGAAAGCTATGCATTCATTTACCTGTTATCAAAAGGTTTGATACTTTAAATGAGAGACTGAAAAAAAACCTTATATTTTTACCAGTTCATGGAATCATTTTTTTAATGCTGGAGGGCTTCCATTTGGATGGTGATACATGGCAAACATTGAAGTCTTAAATCAAGGAATGTTTGGGTAGCTTGTTGCATAATGATGGATTTCTCTGAAAAATAAGCCAACCTAGCGTTATTTGTTCATGTATTTCTTTTATTTTTTGGTAGGCCTTTTCTGTTGTTTCAAAGCTGCTGTCTCAGCGAAAACTTGACCTTCTGCATGAACTTGTATCAGCAGAGGTAAATGCTTTCCATCTCTTGTTCTAGCAATTGATTGTACCATTATGAAGCAACATGCATTCAGCCTGACAGTATCTACAAATATTTCCAGTATGGTTTAATTTGGGAAAAACAGCATAATGCGGAACAGGGCAATTGTTTGTCCTACGTATGCTTTTTTATATTTAATTTCAAGCCATGAAACTGAAAGTTACTGTATTTTAAAAATATATTTATTCTTGTCATTGATATTTATTCTTGCCGTTGGGCATAAAGACCAATTGCCAAGAAGATTGCTGGTGTACCAGAAAGGATTGAAAGGTGGTGGGTTCTGAATGACAGGTGGAATCACGTACCTCTGTTGGTGTAGGCAGATAGCTGACACTTTCGGACACTTTCAGAAAGCAACTGGTTTGTGCTCATCCCTGCTGCACAAATACATTTCCACCCCCGAGCAGGTCATAGAGCCAATTGCTGGTTTTGGCTGCAAGACCTCAGGCTTGTGTCATGGTCTCAGGGATATGGCTACCCTGGCTAGTAAACATCGGTGCGGTGTGTTCTGTGTGTTTATGAATTTTTAATTGCTGAAGTTGTCTTGGCCTTCCCAGGGGATGGAGGTAGCAGATACATCAGAATCAAATGGAGGAGATACTTCAGGTCTATGTCTGCCTTGTTGTTACTGGATGTCAGCTTGGCCTGCCCTATTGCCACCCATGCCTTTGCAGCAAAAATTTTGGTGCTGTTCTAGTGCATCCCCACTGGACAATCTTGCCTCCTCTCTCTAAGCAGAGATAGCAATAAAATGTGAGTTTGTTTCTTATAGTTGTTTTGAAAGAGCATCTCCTCTTCCTCTGCTCATCTTAAATTCGTCAGGTGACGGGGTCAAACACCGATCCAGAGACCTCATGTAACCCACGCATGCAGTGGATGAGGCTGTGATACCACACTACTTCGTTGTTGCTTTGGCCAGTGAATTTTATACCTGCAAAATGTACTAGAAACCAAAGTCTTCTAGTGAAGATCACCTCTTGCTTCCATGCCACTTCTGGATTTCTTATCCAAAAATGGCAACTCAAGTTAGGCTAAAAACTTAGTATGAGTTAAAAATAAGTGCTGCACAGATTCATCCTTTCTTCTGACATGTCTTTCTCATGTGGTGTTTGAGGTGATGCCTCTTCAGTTTGTGCACCACACCTTTCTTAACACAGCTGTAGGTCTTGGGACACTCAAATACTATGGATGAGAATGCAGTATGGAACTTAAGTCCCAGAGCAATGATTTTTCAGTCTTTTCTGACTTGCAAGTGTGTAAACTTTTTCTAATGGGAATGTGCATCACCAAATGGCAAAGATAAACTTAGTGGTAATAGAACTGATTTTCGAAGAAATTTGTGAAAGATGACTAAGAAATAATTGAATCAAAAGCCAAGGAGTATACACATAGCAAGAAATCAGCAGTGAGAAGGAAGAGTGTAAGTATGATAGTGGAAGCAAGCTTAACTGGTATTTTCAGGGCTTTCATGCCTTGCTTTCCAACTTCTGTTTTGACAGTATCTCTTCTAAACATTTGTTAAAATACTTAGCTCTCATTGATTTGAGCAATAGTAAATGGATCTTCTTTAATATCACTGAATTAGAGTTTGGCAGTGCCCAAACTTCCCAGTGCTTTTTCAGTTCTGTTGTTGTATGTTATACAAATGTTTTAGCAATATAGCTAATTTTATTAACTGCAGTAGAAAAGATTGTTACTTCAGTTTCCTAATGAAAAATTAAGTAACGTTTTTTCTGAATTTAGGTACTTCAGGTGCTGAAGGAAAAGATTTCTTTGCTCCCTGACAACCACAGGGATGCTTTAGCAGCTGACATGGATGCAATCATGTACACAACAGAAGGAGATGTTCGCATTTACTATGATGATGATGGTATGTGTAGAATTCTAAGACATTTCAGCAGTAGACAGTCTTATTTCCTGGTTTTGCTATTAAGCAGGCATTCTCTGTACAGATGTGTGTTTGAGTGCTGTTTCTCCTTCCTTGTTTTTCTGTTCACAGTTCATCTATATATAATTCCCTGATTTTCTTTTAAACGGGAGAGATTATTGTTAATAAATCAGTTTTGACTTCTCTTTAGGTTTGGATTATTCTTCTTCTTTTGTAATTTCCGATTTTTTGCATTAGTAGTCCTTAGCAATCTCAAATCACTTAAACACAATTATTCTACTATATGCAGAAAGCTGTTTTCCTCAGCAGTGAAAATACATCTTCCAGGAAGAATAGTGAGGGCTGGATAATGATACAAATTTTGCTGTCTTCACTTTTATTCTGTTTTCATGGAATATACTTTGTTCTAGGACTCCTTGATTTTTTAATTTTTTTTATTTTTTAAATTAGTGATGAGCTCATGCAAGTTTTTCTTTTGGTTGAATACCAGCATTATGTGCTCAGTTCACTATCAGACACAGTTGAGATGGTTTATAATCTAACCATGGGTATTCCAAAGAACATTTCAAATTTTCAGACCCAGTGAGCTTTTTTCTTGTTTTAAGAGATAGGAATTTTTTTTTCCTCTTCGACTGCTCCTGAGTTTCAGCTACTCTACATACTTCCATAGTATCAGTAGTTGGCTTTGATCGTTGTGATTCTTTTTTTTAATACAGTTTGATTATGTACAATGTCATGCAACACTCATGATAAAATACATACTTTTCTACAGAGTGTATTTTAATTGTTGCTAAACAGCATGACTATGGCTTTAAATAGCTTTATTGTTCATTATTCTATCATTCATTCTTTATGACTGAAGTGAGCTGTCCTTTCAGGGTCTCAGTAGGATATATGCTAAGTAGGAAATAGGAGTATTTGGCCAATGAGAAACATGAGATCTATCTTACGCTTTGATTTATTTCCACAGGAAGAAAGTTTGTTAGCATCCTGATGCGTTTCTGGTATCTGAATGGTGCTAATCTACCTGATGAAGTACCAGGTGAAACCAAAGTTTTCCAGATTGTGTTTGGAGATGAAAGCACAAAAGAAAAAAGACATCTTTTAACAGCAAACTATGAGTAAGTTTACTTGTCCTTTTTTTTTTCCTCCATGTGCATGGGCTAGCTGTGTGGAAAGCAGTTTGGAACTGAAAGCAGTCACACTGTGCCAGTGCAGAACTTGGTATGTTTTAATTTACCTTGATTGTAATCTAAATTAGTTCTCATCCAGCTTTCCAGTTCTGAGTATAGGGCCAAATTTTTTAAATACCCCTTAGAGTCATGTTATTGCCTTTCTTCTGAGTTGACATTAATGGGAACTCTGTCAGGAAGAGCATTAGCTGGAGCATTGAATGAGATGTCTGATTCTTTTCTATACTGCTCCTGCAGCTTTCAGGAAATAGGCCAATATCAGTTCTTGTTTCCCATTTCTTAGCACAACTAACAGCAATGCAGTCAAGCCAGGCAGTCAAGTGTGGTGCTGTTGCCTTGTCACTTACTGCACAGAAGTCATAACTGCAATTAGCTGAAAAAGTAGCTTGTGAAAGAGGAAATTATTTAGCCAAATGCTTTCTGCAGAAAAGCAGAACAAAGCAAGCATCACCTGGTGTTCAGATAATTTATGCCACTCTGATCCAAGCCCTCAAATCACCTTAGGTAGATGGATTTTCATAAGAACGCTTGTAAATAATGTCTGTGTTAGCGTACTGATGTCAGAGTAATGCAGCAATATCTGCACAGTTGGCAAAAGGTAGTGAAAATAACATCCTCCAAAGTTGGGAAAAGAGAGATTTTGTGTGAGAAATGTAATATAATCAATGACTTCTACACTCACGTTTGAAATGGAGAGACTTTGTGGTCTGGTTGATGAGGAGCTCTGAAACAAAGGAAACACTCTGAGGACACCAGTGGTTTTTGCCTGGATGAATTTTTGTGGATCCATCCCTTAAGTGCATTCAGCATCTTCCTTAGTGTTGGAGGCTTCTGAGACTCCATTAACCCCAGGAGCCTCCCTTTAAAGCCCTAAATATCTTCCTAATCCCCAGCAGAGAGGTCTTTGCAATTATGTGTTTCTTCTGCTATCTACAGTGCTAACCTAAACTCCAATGGGCAAAAAGACTACAGGCCTTGGAAGCCTAATGTTAAATATTTGGGCGCCTGGAGAAGAGAGTTTCCACGAATGGATTTGTATGTAATTGCAGAGCAATGAGGTTCTACTGCTCTTATCCACAATGTGCAGGTTACTTGGGAGTGTGAATATTCAGCTTGAAGCTCAGACTTATCTTTAGATGACAAACAGTCAAAACTGACATGCTCAGGGACGAAGGTTTTAATGACTACAGAAGGAAGACTGTTTTGAAAATAGGGGTGGACGTTTACATTTTCCTATCAAAAACTGCAGAATTTTATGTCAGGGAGATTCAGTACTATTGTTAGTTTTGTCTTTTTGATGTATTTCTGAAAATATATTACTTTTTAAAGTATAGTTCAGTAAAAATGAAAATTTTCAGGTAGAGTGTATAGCACATGATTTCCCTTTAGAATGCAGTTACCATTGCATTAAATGAAACCCTTTATTTAGAGATGAGGATTTGCCACAAAGCTATATTCATAGTTACTGCTATGAAAACTGAATGCTTTCTTGATATCAGGGTCTTTACTGTTGCTGCTTGATCCTGTCTGTGGGATCTGAACCAAAAAAACAAAGTCAATGCACTTTGTTTCTTACTATAAAATTAATTCTGATGTTCCATTTTGGGGCATAGGCATCAGAATCTAAGGAGCTTTTACAGGGATAACTTTGAAGTAAAATATTTCTTCATATCTTGTTGGTATTAGTAGTTCTTTAAGGATCAAGTAAATTTTATCAATTCTTCACTTACTGTCTTTCCTTTTCCAGGTTCCAAAGGGAGTTTACAGAAGGAGCAAAACCAGACTGGACAATTACACGGATTGAACATCCAAGGCTATTAGAATAAATGCCTTCTACAGTCTTTTTATGTACCATTGTACATGTTCTGATGTAACAAATATCAGGCTCTTTTTGGTCTCTTTTTTTTTTTTTTTCCTTCCTTCTCCTCCAGAAGAGGAATGAATTTTGTATGTTTGATTTTCCAGAATTGTTTCTGAAATTTACACTGTGCTGCAGCATTGCAATAAAGCCTTTTCCCTGGAACAGGCTAGTAGAAGTTTAATTGGTTCTAATGCTTATCCAAGACATTTACACAACGCAGTTTCATGCAGGCTGGTATTACAGGTATGTCGACTTCTTACGTTCTGAGAAGAAATGGTACCACTTGAAGATAAACAACTCTTTCATGGCTGGCAGCCCTTCTGAGTTATTTTCCTATGTTTCTTTTTTTCCTAGGGACTGTACAATATATAGCTGAATAGCATGCAAGACGAAATAGAGGTAGATGAACTTCTTAGATTGTCTAGTCTCAGCAGTTCATTTTGAGGTAATCTTGCTTTTGAATATAATTGAGATTAAAAACGTAGAACCAATATCTGTATTTGGTATAGGATTGGAGTAAGAAAAAACTTTTAGCATTGCACTGAGAAAATAGATCAAAGACATACTTACATACATTTTAAAAAATGAAAACAACATTCCCTTCAATTCAGTAACGTACAGACAACTGCAAGTTTAGAAGTCTATGATAGAAAAATCAGTCAAAACCATGAATTTAAAAGAGGACCTAACACTGAAGCTAAATGAAGTCCTCTGTTTGAAATGCTTGTTGAAGAAATGAGCAAATCATTAAAATTAGATATGGCAACTGAACAATTTCCTAATTCTCAGATTATCTCTGTTTCGGGAACATGAGAATCCTGGTGTAAGTAGCTTGAGATTTTTATATGCAGATCAACAGGAGATCATTGTAACAGGTTTTTTTATCCCCTAGCTCAACTTTAAAGTTAACTTTCTACCTGGGTGTGTTGTAGAGATTTGTGCAGTGTTTTGGAAGTGTAAAGTATAATTACTGTGATTCACAGTAGTTGTGATTGAAAGGTATAAATTATGTTTTCTGTAGTTCAGCTCTTTTGATGCAGTGATTTAATGCGAAGAATGTTTAAAGCTTATCAACATGTTTTTTTATGTCAAATCTTGGCAAAATAATTAAGGTATTTTGTTCTGCCTTAGCAGCAGCAGCCTGGCCTTATAATGGAGAATTTGTGATTTTTCCTCTAGACAAAGTTCAGTGATGACAGAGAGCTTTGTCTTCCAGGGAGAATTTAAAATTTTATATAGCCATTTTGTATGCAGTCAGTCTGGAAGTTTGAGGCAAAGCGAAAAAATGTTTATTATTCAGTGGGCCATTTGCTGGAATGATGCTAAATGGTAGCATGTCCAGTTTGGCCACTGAATGATGCGCTGCAAGAAGCTGCAATCAGATGTAGTTGACATAATAACAGGAGAAACAAGCAGGACGCTACTGAGGTGTACAGATGTACCTCTAAAAAAAGTCATTATTACCGAGCAAAAGAAGACAAAAGCCAGTGAAGCCATCTTCATATTCAGGAGTGTTTGCTCTCACATTTAAGTAACAGAAGTCTATCTAGAAATGCTGGAGTATCTTCATTTTTAATTTGGATTACTTTATTAGTATCTTTTTTTGTTTCATTAGATGTATCAAAATGGGAGTCTCTGTCATGACTGATGAGTGATTACCCTTTTACTAGTGAGTGTTCCATTTTTGGTAGCAAAGACAGAGTTAGACCCTACTGTATGACTAATAATGAAAATTTTTTTTGGTTTATTCACAATAAAATTGTGACTTGATATGAACATACTCCAAACTGATAACACATTTTTTCTGAAAAGAAAAAGATGTCATTGGAAATTTCCATGCACTATTTTATTTTTTCAGAGTTGTGTTTGTCTGGGGGGTTGTGGGGGGAAAGCAGTGGTTGGATGTTTAGGTTTTTTTCCTCTCTAATCTTCATTTTAAAAATTATCCTGGAGACTACAAATCTCCATCAGATGCAGAACTACCCATGGCCTTATTGCACCATAAATAAATCAGAAAGGCACATAAATTACTAAGCTTACTGTGCTGGAAAGTAGTTTACTTCCACAGTGAATTAAAACAGTGTAATTAAACTGGATTTACAGTCTAATATTGGCTTCAGAAAAAAACCAAAACACAACCCCCACACTCCACCCCAACCCCCCCTCAAAACCACCCAAAGCCTAACTTGGAAGGAATGGACAAATGTACATCTTAAAGAAGTTTACAGGAGAAGCTTTGACTCCTTTTTACTTGTCATCCATAAATTTTCTGTCATAAATCTGATCATCCTAGCAATTAATCAGACTGAAGTGAATGTCAGGGAAGGGCATTTTGTCATCTTATGGCATCCATGTTTTCTCTTGTGGAAATACTTTTCTTCCATGTCACTTGTTCAGGCAAAACAGGAACTTCTGGTTTCTACATTTCTAGCCAAAAGTATCTACCCATACCTCCCGTTATTTAAGGTAAGAAATGTATTTAGTGTCTTCAGGCTAGCTCCTAGTGAATACATTTCTATATACTATCAAGGTTGTCCCAAATTCTCATGGCAAAAAGAATGAGTAAAGGGTTATGTTTGCTTCATCTTAATCTAAGACAAAGACAGAGGAGAATATTTTCTTGTAATTTGGCGATTTATAGTGCTGCCATTCAAACATCTTACTCTAAAAATCATAATACTAACTTAAGCGTTACAGAATTTTAAAAGAACCAGTGTTTTATTACAAACATCTTCATGATTTGGGAACAGAACATTGTGGGGATCTCTGTTTTACAGCATACTAGTGCTCCCAAATTCTCTTGCTGATTTGTCTCAGACATCACCTTAGAAATCAGCGTGTAAAGACTGGGGTGTGTTTTATTTCCCATCTCCTTGCCTGACTTCCGTTGCTGTTTTAAGTTGGGGGGACAAGTACAATTGTAATTATGGTGTACAGCCTGTAAATCCCCATACATACCCATCTAAAATATTTGCAGTTTTAGTCTGCAAACTTCTTAATTCAAACCCCAGTAATTCTTGAAAACAACATTACCAGGTTTGGTAGTCATTTTTAGGGTAAAATTCATATCTCTATCAGCAACACTGACATTTCTGATTCATTTTGCACAAAACAATGAGGCCACAAGGTGGGACTACACTTGAACTGGGGATGGAGATTCAAAGTACCACATTCTTCTCGCTTGGGCAAAACCATGTTTCTTTAAGTTCATGTGGAGTTTGGGAAGCATTTATTTATTTATTTGTTCATCTGAAACTCTGGTCATGTTTCCTAATTACTGACAGCTGCTTGGCACAATTTCAGTGCACGTGTCTAAGTCTCAACAAGCACTAATTAAAGCTGGCCAACAAAAACCCCATTAATTTGCACACCCCACTCACCAGTAGATGGCCTTGGTCACAAAGGTATTGTGGCTGGCATTAATGAGAGTGTAAGAGGGATAGAATCAAATGGTAGAGGCATTGATGCTCGTTTAAGTGCTATTTAAATCATTTAGACTTCTCTTATTAAAAAGTCTTTATATTCTTACTGGCTTTTATCTTGAGTCAATAGTAGTGTCTTGTGTTCTCTCTGTGGTGCCTACCCATTTTAAAGTGGTAATTAACAGCATTCATAATATGGGAAAGATGAGTTGTACAGTAAATTCACATAGGCATCTTAGTGTCTGACAGTAGAAAACCTTAGTTTTGTATTCACATTTTAAAGTATGTTTATTGTCTTGATCGTGGCTCCTTTCTCTCATGTCCCAGCATTGTATGGTTAATCTGGGGGTGACATTCAGCTTCATCCAGTTTTTGAGGCATGTTCAAGCGTGAGCTTACCTTCCCTTCAGGTTACGTTTAGTTAATTATTTTCAGGTCTTATGGCTGGAAAGCTGTTTAGTAGTAAAAGTCACATTGTTTGTCACAATAGTGATCATACTCCTTCAAAATTTCACAAGTCCTGTGCTTCTCTTTTTAGTTGTGTGGTTAAACTTGTTTTCTGCCCCAGTGTGCCTCATTGGCTGCAGGTAGGGGCCTTTGTGGTTCCTCACTGTAGTTAAATAATAGCTCCCAGCTTATACGAGATGGGATACACGTGTGAGTAGTGGGAAGTGTTTCTAGTTTCATTCCTCATATATGGATGTGATAGTTGATCGTAAAGCATTGGACCATGTGTGGACATAGGAAGAGGTACTTAGCTGTTAAAAAAGCAAGCACTGCCTACACAGCTGTGCTTTTGTTCCTCTAAGAGAGAGAAAGGCAGCTGAGTCAAATGGAGTTGCACAGTGAATACTGACCACAGTAAGTCATAGGGGTTTCCCTCTTCATCTTTTACTTTTTTTCCCGTTGCTGATGTGCTATTCTATTGGGTTTTTGCAGGTCTGCCAAATAGGATGGAGGTTGAGTAAGCCACTGCGTACGTCTACAGCACTGTTGAAAACATACTCTTTGTCTCAACTCTGTCTCTTACATGTATTTTGTCTGAATTCAGTGATGTATGCTTTTCCTAATATAAGGTTCTCCTATTGAAGCTGATGAGGAAACTTTCATGCATTTTAATGGGAGCAGACTGCAACTTTTTTGCTGCCCTTGAAGTTATTCTGTCAGAAATAGAGGCAAGCTAAAAATAGACATGCTGTAGTTTCTTTTGTGTGCCATTTCCTCCCTCTGCTGTCACAGAACAAGAGGGTGAGCTTGGTACTGTACTGCTCAGGATATATGAGGGAAAGGAGCAGGACAAGCAAATGCATGTGTAAACAATGTCAGATCACAGTAGTGTCAGGTTGTCAGGACAAGAGTGTCCACGTGGACAAATCTGCCTATTTGGCATTGGAAATCTTCTGTCCCCAATTTGCTACTGTTGGCCCTAGCAGAGGAGATGCATTTCAACAAGGGTGCAGCCCTTTGAAGGATACGGGAGATTTGGTGGGTGTAGGGAAACAAGTGGTGACTTTAATGTTACCCTAAGTTATATTTTGTGGCTGATAATTAGCTTTTACATAAGAAGCTATACTTCTACTCTGATTTGTGTATGAGGGAAGAATCTGAGTTTCCATGATTAGAGCTGAAGTCCAACCTTAAGTGTACAGAGATTTCACAGCCTGACTGGGAAGCATGGGAGAGGCTGCCCAGGTAAAGCTGTGGTAAATCAGAGCAGCTACAGGCTATCCCTGCCTTACACTAATTAGCAGCTGGCACATCCCTAGAAATAAGGAATGAAAAAAGGGAGGAGGGGAAATGCCTTGATAATCCCTCTCTTTTGAACTTTCTGGAACCACTTGGCAAGTGCAGCATCCATACTTAAACACCAGCTGCCAAGTCTGGAAAGGAAAGTTTCAGTGGTACAATTAGATTAAGTGGTAGCCTTGTTAAAGCCTCTGGGTCTGTGAGAACGTCGGGTTTTGTGCTTGCTGGTTGTGTTATGCTGTTTGAAAACCTTCAGGCTTCTTATCTGCAGTACAGCCAAACAAGGTCATTACTTGCACTTGTGATGTTATATTTTTGTGCTGTGCGTGTTGTCCTATAAACTGAGAACTGATTAATATAAATAATGGTTTGGGGGATTTTTTTATATACTTTCAGAGGAAACAGGATTGAGTGGCTGCAATATAAAGTGAAGAGCAAGCTAATGAGAATGAATTTATGTAATCTATAACTCATGTCATGCAAGGAATTGACCATTAAACAGGTGGACATCTAATCACTGCTGGCTTGATTGGGGTGGAAATTAAGTGATGAAGAGATCTACCTTGGATGGTAGCTGCCTGAAATCTCTCATTTCTTGTGTGTTCAAAGTACCTATATTATTAAAATCTGTAATGAGCTTAGTCAGGCACTTTGTCCTTTTTAATTACTAGTGGGGTGACTGTCCCTTAGTCTACCTCAGGCTCAAACCCCTGTAGTAAAACTCTCTGAGCTGTCAGCTTGTTTCTTATGTGTTTGTCATTACTGTCATTAAGTCACCTTTCTTCTCTGTGCTAAGAGGTAATTTTCATAAGGTAGAACAATAGAGAAATCACCAATCCTCTGGGTGTAGTGTGCCCTGTTTTCTGGTATAGGTTAGGATTTCCGTTATTAATACACAGAATTCTGTATGGACTTCTGCTGCGAAATGCTTTCAGAAGGCATTGTTCCTGCTGTTATAGTTCAGTCTCTCCCTGCGAAAGCACATGCAACCCAGTGGTGAGATTTCACTCTTGCCATAAGGTTACAGCCCTCTGTCCAAGAGGAGAGTCAAACATTTGTACAAGTACCTGTAAAGATGGCAGATTCATCATGGCTTGGATTATAAACTGTTAGATTGTGTATCTATTGAAAAGTTTCAGAAACAAATCAACATCATATTTTGAGTCTGCATTTACATCAGCCTTCAGCTGCATCAGAACAGTAATTATTGTAAAATCTTAGGGAGCAAGATTTCTACGGTAAGGGAGGGATTTTTCCATTATCATTCACATTATTCTGTGATGGTTTTTGTTTGTATTTTGTTTTTTATTCTCTCCTAAATACCAGGGAGATTACCTGACTAAATAAGTCAAGGCTGAAGAAAGTGTTCCATTGCTGAGAGATAGTATCCACATCTAAGGGAAAGTGGATTCTTTATCTGGTCAGTCATTCTTACACGTTTCATATTCTGCTCTCAGATTCTGGTTGGAAAGGGGGGTTTTTGAATGCTAGATTGGTAAAGTTCACTATCTTTCCCTGCAGTGGAGGCTGTCATTTTCTGATGGAATCATCTGTGTGTATTTTTCACTGTTTTCTGCTAGTACAGTGTCCCTGGGTACAGATGGTGCTGCAGGGTCTCCTGCAGTGTACAGTTTAATCTCTTG